AAAAAAAAAACCTATTCCCTATTTTTAACCCAATGACCCGACCCCCTCTAGGATAACCCGGTACCAATTAACCCAATTACCCATTTCCATTTACCCATGCCCTCTCTTTAGATAATCTCATTTTCTCCCAAATTTACCCATTAACTTCTCCTCTGATTTCTACAGCGATCTTGCAGCCAAAATAATCTTTTATCAGCTGGCTACCAACTGATGCACTTTCCTTTTCAATATAATCCATGAGGGAGTAACTATTTTCCATTCCAAAAGCATTTTGGTTCTCTTTCGGAGAAGAATTTGATTTAGGACTATCTAACATAGATCTGTTTGGCAAGGTCATCACCCACTGCACTACTGACATCTTTCTTTTTACTTTAACAGGTTCATTCAATGAGCTCGTCGTTTGTAAAAGTGGCCAACCAGGAGTAGTAGCAGCAGCAGCAGCACAATCTTCGGTAGGAAGAGAAACTGAACCTAGTGAAAGAGAACCTTTCTTGTGTTTTCCTGAAGGACTTGTGTTTTCCTCTTTTATGTTTTGTGTACCATTTGTCCATCTCTCCAAAGTTCTAGTCACTTCACAACTGAACCTTCCAAATTCCGATATCTCAGATTCACCAAATTCAGACTCGCAATCCTTTAAAGTAGAAATTCTTTCTAGATAAAGACTTGGTTTTGGATCACTAAAAGAACCTGTCATCAAGAACAGAACAAATTCAATTTTCTTATGTAAATAATTTTTTTTTAGCTCAAATGTGCAAGCAATCTTGAAGTATCATCAAACCTTTGAGTTGGGAAGTAGAGGTTCTTCTAAACAAAACTTTCCCATTGTCAATTGCCATAACTTCAGTAGTGGTAGGCAGCTTCTTCGCACAATATTTAGCAATTGAGGTCCAGCCCCTATACAAGTCCGCTTTCAAATATAATTAGCAAGATATATATGAATCGAAAATACAATAATGGGTAAATTTGGGAGAAAATGAGAATCTCTAAAGAGTGCTGGGTAAATGGAAATGGGTGAGATTATCTAATTGGTACCGGGTTATCCTAGAGGGGGTCGGGTCATTGGGTTAAAAATAGGGAATAGGGTGTTTTTTTTAAAAATCCGGGTAATTGGGTCAATTTGGATCAATTTTGGGGATTCCGTCTAAATGAGGGGTAATTTTGGTGAAATTAGTAACGGGAGGGGTACGATTAACTTCATTTTAACGGCGAGGGTAAAGTCAAACAATAAACCAAAGTTGGGGGGTATTTTTGACCCTTTTCCCTAAAGAATAAGTAAAGAATCAAAATTCTTTCCTGAAATATTAATATGAAAATTATTATAAGATATCTTATTTGCTGATATCAAAATAAGTAAATTTAATTTGAACCAAAAAAGATAAACAATCAAATAATTGATAAGGTGAGTGTACAAGTAGTCCCTTGAAGAATCGTTATGTAAAAAAGGTCAAATATTATATACTATCTAACATGTCTATTTTCAACCTTGAAATTGGAAGCTACAACACCAATATCAACACCACACTCAGTATAATCCCACAACTGGGGAGAGAACGATAGAGCAGACCTTACCCTTATATTGTAAGGGTAGGAAGGCTGTCCGATAGACCCTGGCTAAAGAAGAGATGACAAGTAAGCAATAATAATTTCAGGAGTCACCTTTGTTAGGAAGAACTTTACCCCAATATGGGGCTTTCCGGCACGAATCCGAATTTAGTAGGGCTCCAATGTGGGTACTGGACATCGGGTGGGAAACCAAAAAAAAAAAACAAGCAATAACAACAACAAGATAAACCCTGAAATTGGAAACTACCAAACCTTTAGAAATCAAATATTTTAAAGTTGATTTTCCTCAAAAAGTTGGCATTGCTTAAACTTGGCATTACTATCCTGTCTGTATGAACTTTGCATACAAAAAAGATTCAGTCATTTCAAAAATGACATTCCTTGTTTTAAGAGACAATGGTTACAACAACTTACAAGATTGAAACAATTGAACTGCTTCAAATCAATGAAGGGCTCCAATAAGGAACCCTGACCAAGGAGGAATTATCTGCAAGAGGGAACTTAATCCCAGATCCTGATAATCAGAGTCATATAACATATTAGATATCTTTGGGGAATTTAGAAGTACAAACAATTTACATACTCTTACATACACAGAATCTCCTCCTCCCAGGCAGGGTAAATCCAGGTTGACCACAACCCTGCATGATAGCTTTAAACCAGAAAGTTAGACATGAACAGACAGTGAAATGTAATTCAAATTATTCGCACTGCTTGTGTCAACCTCATCAAGGATTAATTGGACTAAAATTTCAACTTCTCTAGTAAATTAAATTTGAACAAAGGCCACTGGTGGTGCACTAGTCACATCTATAGCACGAGTTATAGTCATGTGGAGATGAAGAAAGCAGGAAACATCAGTATTTTTAAAAAAAAAACTCTACTTGGCTAACACTCCAGAAGGAGCTAAGTTTAACAAACTAAAATCCAAAAAAGCTGATATTTCCAAATCTTAAGATCTACCCTCCTTTTTTCTCCCGCCACCTTAATAATTCCAGGGGGACAAATTGTTAATTCAGCGAATTGCAGACATCATGACATGCTGGTATACATGTTGAACATGTTAGAAGCTTTAATCATGTTGGATTTGGCAGCATCAAGCAATGGATCTGCCTGGATTGCCTTGTCAAAAGAGTCCTTTGCTTCGTTCCACTTCCCTTCAGCAACATATACAAGACCTAAATTGTTTAAAGCAGGTGCATATCCAGGTTGCAGTTCAAGTGATTTATTGAACATTGCCTTTGCACATTCATACTGTTTTAGCTGCCGATAGAGATTTCCAAGGTTTGAAAATATTGTGTGTGCTTGTTTTGGTGTAGCTAGCGACAATGCTTGTTTATACACCTCTTCAGCTTGAGAAGACTCCTCGGATAGTTGCAGTGAAATACCTATAGTGCAATTTCTTTTTCAGCAGACATGAAGGCTATTTTCACGATGATTAAATATGGAGAAGAAAAGAGGAGGAAAAAAGATGTGCATGACATTGTGTAAGAGAGATGCATTTACCAAGATTTGACCAGGCATAGGTGCAGTCCTTACGGCGTGCAACTGCAGCCTTGAGGTACATTTGAGACGTCTTAAATTGTTGGGTACACAGACTATGAAGGCCAAGCTGATGCCATTGAACAGCATCAGCAGGATCTTCGGCTATTGCCTGTCATTTGCAAAATCAGAATCTAAAATCCAAGCTTTCAGTCCAAACTTCATTTTACAAGAGTGTCGCAGAACATAGTGAAAATTGAAGGTCAGGAAGCAGATGCAAGGTAAAGAAGCTTAAATGCAGTAAACACATGCAAGAAAGAGTTTGACAACTGATTTCCTTTCACAGTAGAAGATAAAGTTCAAGCAATTCCAACTCAAAAACAACTTGATAAGTAACCACTTGCACCATAGAGGAAGTACATATAGATCACCTTATCACATGTTCAACTACTCCCTCCGTCCCATATTAGATGGGCACTTTCTATTTTACAGGGTGATTAGGAAATCATTAATAGAATGATTAACTTTATTATTTTGACCTTTGTTCATATCAATGCACATATAAATAAGTTAGAAAATAATACACATAGAGTATAGGAATAGCTAGTATTGGGAATTGTTCACATTCCAAAGGTCATATTAATTGTAGGGGTAAAACGAGAAAAATTTAATTAATTCTATCCTGATTTAGTAAGTGATCAAATAATATGGGAAAACTATTTTTAGTAAGATGCCCATCTAAATAACCAATCCCCTCACTGAAATCAGAAGTTAACAAACTAAGTAATAAGTTTTAGATAAAAATATAAAAACTTTAAAGCTTACCTGCTTTAGACTGTAGATAGCATGCTCCTTGACTTCCACCAATTCATTATGCTCAATTTCAAATCCTGCCACAATTTCATGTTGGGCCCTGTGGACCATGGCGAGACCAGCCCATGCTATTGGAGGCTCTATCGAAGTAGAATCTCCTTCTCTTAGTATTGAGGCCATCTCACTACCAGCCCATGAGAGCTGCTCATTGGGATTCTGGGACCTCTCTGCATCCCTGATGCGGTGAACTCCAACCGCATATCTTGTCGCTAAACAATTAGGATCAATTTTTCCTGCCTACTCATTAAAGAAAAAGAATGTAAATTACTTATACAAGGTCAACATTAATGCATCTATTCAAGAAGCCTAGGAATCAATATCTTGTAAGAACAAATAAAAGAGAGGATTAAAGCTGTTTGTAGCCTTGAAGAAGAAGTACCTTTTCCAAGCATTTAGCAGAGCTCCTATGATCACCCATCAAGTAATAAGCATTAGCTAGATTTGTCCAAATGTGAGCTGCTTTCGAGTCTGCTTTTAAAGCTGCTAGTAAACACTCTTTGGCAACATTGGCTGCAGTGACTTGATCTGCAGAAGTTCCATAAAGAGTATTTGCCCCCGCACCTGAAACTAACAGCCAATGCTTACTAGTTAGTCTCTGTTTTCTTTTTCTTTAAATTGTTATATCTATGTTTGAAAACATGCTAATGAGCACCATCAGTAAAATAATTGATAGCCTAAGTATATTTTTGCAATGCTCTGTAACCATAAATCTGATAGCCTAAGTATATAAATAATGAAACACGTAAAATCCTCTTACCTGCCACTACTGAACCATATTTATATAAGATAAGGGCAGCATAGTTGATTAATGCCGTGGGATGGTTCTGATCTTTTAGAAGTAGATCTTGGAAGCACTTTTCCGAAAGCTCTAGATTCCCACTGGAAAGACATTGTCAAAGTGATTCAATTCAGCAAAGAAAGTAGCTCAAGTGAACAATATAGGAAGACATGCCTGGTGAAATATTAATCAGTTAGTGTATCTACCAAAGGTGATTAACAGGATCAGAACATCCCCCACCCCACCCAAAAAAGAAAAAAAAACTATCACCAATCAAAAGAAAAAGACAAACACAGATATCAGAAAGCAGAATATGCATTTGATAAAATACCAGTGTATGAAAAATTGCAAACCTATAAAAGCACTGAAGCTTGCAGACAATGACTGCTATAAAGACAATCTAATCAATTGTAAAAGTTATATGGAACGAAGCATTTGATCAACCTCACCAGGAATCCTAAAGTTCCACTCAAATCCATGATGGGTTAAGCTGATTCTCAAGAACGGTGACTGCTTAAAATAGGTAACTGTCTGTATCACCATTTGCAAGATCTAATTACTCTTGTTGTATAAGGTCATGGGATTTGCTTTGAAGGATGACTATTAAAAAGTGATTGAGTCAGAGATACCTAGAGGTTCTCCTATTTATGAAGAATAAGTAGGTTAGTTCCTGAAAATGGTCTCCCTACCCACAAGATAAACACTTCCTTTTTTAATGGAACAGCAATTACCGCCATCAGAATACAATATGCTTTTTAAGCACCCAAAGGTGTGGTCAATGAAGTTGGAGACTATGAGGTATCAGATTTAAATCCCTGAACTAGGTGATTTCTTCCAATTAGCCTGAGCCTCGGCTGCTAGAGTTGCCCGGTACTTGTCCTGATAGGAGGGAGAAGATGCTGGTGGACTAGTCAAGGTGCAAAAAAGCTAGCCCGAGCACCAACAACAACAACAACAACATCAACATCATACCTAGTAAAATCCCACAATTGGACAATACTAGTAGCACAAACAAATAATACGATTACCGATGCAAAAGAAATAACATGTAATAATAAGAAGTATAAGAAAGGAAGAGGAAAAGAAATACTAATACCACTAATAAGGGAAACTAGATAGTGCGACTACCTACCAAAACTTCTACTCTAATTCTCGACCTCTATAACTTCCAATCTAGTGCCATGTCCTCGGTAAGCTACAGGTGTTTCAAATCTTGTCTAATCACCTCTCCCC